CGACAGATTATTCATGTTAAATGAAACGGTGCCAAATTCTAGTACCTGAGAGCACATCTGGGTGAGAGAAACAGAGCATACAGACAGAGAGTGGGTGGCAGTAATGCACCATAAAGCTGAAGAAGAAGAGACCAGCATGACAACATAATGAGTCTGGGCGATGGCGAGTCGCAAGCACTCACAAGTGTTGTTTCAGTTGACACAGGCCGAGCTTGCTGCAATATTTCAGGGTAACACGTCTGGCCTGCAGAGACACAGCTGCTGCGGGCGAACGCCTACACGCCTGCAGCCAAGAAATCAAACCCTCCATGGACGACGCAGCATAAAGCGACGCATCGACAACTTCCTCCCCCTGTTCGGTTAAATCATTTCCAAGTTAGAAAAGTTGTAGAAAAGTTATCACTATCACAGATGTTAGCTTTTAGAAGATGGACGACAAAAGTGAAGCCAAAGTGACTTAAACGTCCAAAACTACAATCAATTTAACAGGCAAAAGTTGCGATGGAGACTTTTTATGATGTCTGAAATCTGTGTAAGCACTGCAACAACAACATGAGAGAAAAGTGTTACATCTAAAGAGTGAAAAAGGTGTCAATGGTAACAGATACTGAATTTCAGAGACCAGTTTTTGTACCATATCAGTTAAAATGACAATGATACCCAACCCTAATAAAATCGGCATGTAACAATCCCATAAACCTGATAGAAATATGGAAGAAAAGAAAATGTATTAACTTTTGCATAACCTCTAACTCTGTGGGAATGGTACTTGAGCTGCATTGTGCCCCATCACAGTCATCAAAATACATTAAACATAGCCACTTATGCAAATGAGCTGATTTATCAAGTTCATTAAAACCTTCAGTAGCATTTTTCAGCATGCCTGTCTTAATATGACACATCAATGGGATTCATATTAATGCAATCTAAAAGCATTAAGGAGCTCTGTTATGTTTAAGAAAACAGTTTTCCTTAATTAAAAAGGAATATTAATGCATTAATGTCCTTAATTAAATCAAACAGATCAACTGCTGCAAAGAGGGACTCTGTAGTTTAAATACTGTTTCCTTTTTGTCTCGGCTCAGACATGATCTTCACAGTTTGTCGGACAAACAAACAGAAGCCAGCTTCTCTTTATTTTTATTTTTAGGAGCCGGGCAGTGAAAGAACATTACCAGTCTCTGGCTAATTGTGTTTTCCATGTTTCACATTTAATGGAGACAGAATTGATAGCCTGGGGGGACACTCAAAGTAATCATGTCCCACTGGTGATATTCTGTCCACTTTACAAAGGTAGGACCGCTGCTGCGTTACCCACACACTCACTCACTCGCTCCCTTTCTGTTTGATTAAGCACAGTATGATAATTATCACACATATCGCTGCTGTTTCAACAACCTTTGTGTGTGCGTTTATGTGTAGGTGCAAAATGTTTGCTGTAATGTGAAAATTACCCATCGCACACATATGCACTGAACCTCTGTCAACATACAGACTTTGTTTAGGTCACTGCATATGTGCGGAAGTCACTGTGGTACTAATTAGTTCTAATTGAACTTAATATGTCAATGGGCCATGCTAAATAAACAGCACACCGCAGCAGGGGAAAACAAAAAACGAAGGATATAGAATGAGACAGAAAGTCAAACCCTCCTAGCTCCCAGTTCCTGAATTCATTTTTCATGCAGAGCAAACACAACAGGCAGGACGGTAAAGTGAAGAGAAGACAACAGAAGCTCCAAATGACAGCAGGCGTATTCTTCCTCTATTGTCAAAATGAGTGTAAGCAGAGCTGCAACAATTTGATGTGTGTGGTAGTTCAGCAGTGTCTGCTCTGTTTACCAAGTCTGTGGTCACTGATCGAGAGCGGTTGCCAGAGCACACGCAGCAGATTGGTGCCTTAAAGCCGCACGATTCGAAGCAGATGGTGACCTGGATGACTGAGCCTACTCTCTGCAATTATCTGAAGCCTCGTCCCGTACACAAAAGAACACGGCTCGTTCATGATACTGAGGGGCTCTCCGCTAATTGTGGCACAGTGACAGGAAAGACTCGGTGACACAGAAAGTGCAGATGGAATACTGTTAGAGAGCTTTAGGACGGCTTAATGTGCTTGGCCTCTCTGACTCATCAAGCGGAGCGATCAGAGAGAGTAGCTGAGGGCAAAGCAAAGAGCAAGCTATCTTTTGCGCAGCTCGCAATGTTATTCAGTTGCCTTGTGGTCGAGATGGAAATTAGCCTCAGAATGTGATGAGGTGGAGTGTTTTCAGTAAATCTTTTCTATATTCTGTCTCAATTATCTCACTGTGTGTGTGTTTTTTTGTTACCTCTTTAGGACCTTAAACAATGACCCTGTCAGAACCAGCAGACCTCATTGGGAACAGATGTGAACTTTGGTCAAAGTTAGACATGTTCTAATCTTAGTGTGTGTGAGCTTGAAAGTTTCAGGTAAAAAAAAACAACACACACACACACACCCACAGTAAAAAAGTAGACATGCATGAAATTAGAGGACACAGGATGAATAAGACCATCCTATTAGAGCCAAAACAACCTGCACATACACTACATTTCCTTTCATTTCACTTCTGAACCAAGAAGAAAACTTTTACCCCATGCCTGTGAAGCAGTCTCCTAAATATCACTTTAAACCCCATGCCATATGTAATAATCAGCAGACTTGTATCCCCTGCAGACTTCAAACTGGTGTTTACCACCATGCAGGCTCCCTGCTCCTCAGCATTCATTTTGTCATGTAAAATTAACGAGTTAAACCTCAGTCACAGTCTCTGCCAATTCAGCCCCAACACTTCCACTGTTAGTGGGTGGAAAGTACATTTCTGCACTGTGGAGATGCATGAATGTGTTAGGGATTACATGAGTGTGCATGCACATGTTAACGGGTGGAAGCCACCGAGTGCAAGATTTGTTTCTTAGCAGACAAATACACACATACATGTGAATTGTTTGTGCTTGGATACCTGAACATCAGTATTCCCTCTGCTGATGTACAGGTACTGTGATTTTTATATTACACAAGCAGTGCAACTCCTTTAAGGGATTGTTTGGGGTGCAAGTTGTGTGCGCAGCGAGAGTTGATGTGCGGCTGAACTGAGCAGTGTAGCTGTGAACTATGTGCAATATGTATGTGCACTTTAGGCTATTTGTCTTTCAATAAATGCTACGGGTCCTCAAGACCCGAGCAGAGTTTTCAAACTCTCACTGCTGTCTCTTTCGCCTGCCTGGATCCAAATCACAATTCTAAGTCAACCATATACGTCTAGATTCAGAGCCTGTCCACACTAATACAACCTTTTTTCTCTGTGTTTGGGCCTTTTGTTCACAGGCAAACGCTGTTTAAGTCACTAAAAAGGAGAAAAACTTCAAAAATGTTCTGTAACAGAGCTTATGGGAAACAATGAGGTCATAACTTAGTTTGCACATGCTCAATGTTGCTATACTGTAACAAGCATGCACCAGAAACAACAATAGAGGCTATATACTGGTTTCTCTTCTTTTGGTTACCATTGCTTGGTCTAATTAGGTTTACTAAGTTTGCAAATGTGTCTTCTCTGCACCACAAAACCTGAGTAGTTTGAGATGAAATGAAGTATCAAACTTTGAAGGTTTTTTGGTGGGGGTGCTTGACTATTTATAAAAGTCAGCTCCTTTGCCCTCTTCAAGGTAAGTAATGTCTGTCCACATTACAGCATTATAGATATTCTCTCCTCTCAGCTGCTATTGAGTCACAGATCAGCTTACCAAAATCAATAAATCACCAATTGGATCAAAACGGAGACTAGAGGGTGTGAAGGAGGAGAGGAGAGGAGAGGAGAGGAGGAGAGGAGAGTTGAGAGGAAACTGGAAAAAGGACAGATAGAGAAGACGACGCAAGAAAGTCGGACTAAAGTGTCAGTGGTATACTACCTGATTACAAACTGGTTTAAACAATGTTACAGGTTTTAATTACTCATTGATTCCAAATCCATTAGCACAGCAAAGGTTCACAAACTTTGATTTCATTAATAAAAAGTACAGAAGCATAATGGACTTTGAGGATTCATTGAACAGCAGAGGGGAGTAAATTAAGATGGACAACAGAATAAAACCATTTAGATGTGTGTGTGTGTAGGTGGGTGTGTGTGTGAGGTGCTCTGATCCTTATTGACTGGCCTGGGGAAATGGATTTGCTTGATGGAGGAGATAACGCTCCGATAGAGAGAGCGAGAGGGACAGTGGCCTGATGGAGATATCAGAGCCTGCACTATTTCTCTCAGTTACTGGGATTTTAAAAGGTGCCCACACAACCAACACACACACTCACACAAAACGTCTGACATGCACACTTCGATACGAATCATCTTCCAACAGACACACAGCGGTGTCTGGCATCATTAACCTGGCATCTTCCAAATTCAGATAGATTGTGGCTGCAGCAGGTGTACACGTGTGCGTGTGTGTGTGTGTGCGCATATCTGGTCGTGTCTGTCCTCTTGCAAGACGAGCAACTTACTAAATTCTGGCCACTGGGATACAAGTTTCTAGTGAGATAAATGACATATTTAGCCAACAATATTGCACACACACACACACACACACACACACACACACACACACACACAGCAAAACACAACCTCAAACACTCCCATCAGGCCACCGCAGCAAGACGAGGGCGTTGCCTGCAGCCCTCGATGGTTCAATGGCTGGACTGTGACCCACATGATATGATGTCACTTCATGACATGTGCGTGAGNACACACACACACACACACACACACACACACACACACACACACTCTACTTTGGCACAGTTTAAATCAAAAAAGTTTCACTCAGCTCTGTTTAACTGTGTCACTTATGAATTTCATCAAAAAGACAAATTAGTCCAGACCGACCGGGACAAACACAACATCCTTAAATAGGCTACAATATGTGGTGGGCTCACATTGATAGGAGTGTGTCTGTTCTATGTGCGGTGGTGGTGTTGGGGTGACCCTTACCTCCCAAGTGATAGGTTCCCCCTGTGTTGATGGAGAGAGGTGAGGTGGAGCGGACAGCGGACGCCTCGTCGCCATCTATCATCAACATGGCAAAGTTCTCCTTGGCCACCAAACGTATCGCGTGCCACTGTCCATCGTTAAAGCCTGAACCTGGAGGTTATAGAGACGAAAATGTTTTCAGAAAACACACACTGCACAAAAGGTTTCTCTTGAAAATACCCTGCGCATCAAGGTTTCTGTTGACTGATTTATTGTGACAGAATCTCAAATGACACTTTTAAATGACAGCATCACACATGACTTTACACACATGAAAAATGGTGGCATGTAGTTTGTCTTTCACAGGAGACTTTCTGGGACATGGTCACAACATCAGAAAAACTGTGTAGAACATGCAGGAGGCCAGACATGATGTATAATATCTGGCACCTCTTTCTCATCCTGAGTTATTTGTATTTTTGAAGAACTTCCAGAGCAATTAACTCGGATATTTTCTTTCTCTCATACAGCCCTTTCGGATAATTTCAGGATAATGTCCGGAGTTTAGGGCATTTCTGACAGCAGCAGTATTGTTACAGAAGAATATCGAACATCAAGGAGCTGATTTCCCGTACGGACGACTGGATGACTCATAATGGGTGGGAGGTCATGGGTGGTCAAACTAGGAAATAACATTTGTGTCTGTGATGTGCATCTCTCACAGATTGTTTTTTTCCATTTCTTATGCCTCATCTCAGCTGCCAGATGCCATGCACCCCAACTATTCTTCACTTTTCCCCCGGTTCTCTCACTCCTTTTTCTTTTCCCTCCCCGTTTTAGCCGAGTGCAGCTTCCAGTCTCAAGGCTCCCATGTCCCAACTCCATTAACTCTCAGAGAACACTCTCTACAGTACGCAGAGTGCCGGAGTGCATGTGTGTGTTTTCTATCTGCGCGTGATGTACAGTGATACGTCAATGTGGCGCGAGTTCGATGTGTGTGTTCGTGCAACTTCTGTGTTCTCCTTTTCTTTCTCTTCCCTCGTAGCTGTGCTCCATTAAATATGAGTGATGTATTGGAAAGGGACATTACTAGTGGAGCCTAGAGAGGAGCCAGCTCCCTCTCATCACCCTCTCCTCTATACATCACCTCTTACTGACACGGATCTCTATTCATCCAAGCCTCCCTCTCTGTCCCCAATTCTTTCTTTCACCTCCTTGTCTTTATTTCTTTTCCTGCATTTCTGCATTTCACTCCCCCCCCTTTTATTCCATCTCTATACATCTATCCTCTTGTGGCCATCAGCTACAGTGACCGTCTGTTTCAATTTGGCTCAGCTGATTGCTTCCCTGACTATAATACATGGATAGTAAGGACACTGTAGCCAAGTTCAAGGCACGGTCACGTGTAAATCAGTTTTGGCAGAGTGCACATATGTGTATATAAGTCAATCCATACTGTGCGTAGCTTGGCTTGCTATGTGTGTCAATATATTTGAATAATGTGTGTAAAGAGAGTACGCAAGCTTTGCTTCGTGTGTGTTAGAATCTGTCTAAGCCGCCTCCAAGGTGCTAGTTAACATTGTTTATTTCCTCCCAGAATTCACTTGGAGATGCTGGCTTTCATGTAAGCAGGGAGTCTACACTAATTAATCTCTATCAGCAGGGTGCCTATGTGCATGTGTGTGTTTTTGTGTGTACGAGCGTGATCAGGGCAGTGACCAAAGAAACTAAGAGCCAAGATGGCCACCTGCTGAGGGGTGTGATCGCTGTGGCCTCGTTCAGGGCTATGCTGGTTAAATATGCATGCTCGCACATGCAAACACACACAAGCACACACACACACACACACACACACACACACACACACTGCAAACATGAATGCCATTAAGCCTAACTTTTTCCATGAGCTCTGTCAGACTGAAATAAAATGACAGTTTAACATTTCATTGTAATTGCACTTGAGAACTGAAAAGTAATGACGGGAGAAAATAAGAGGCTGTGTCTGTTTTGGCTGGATGACAACAAAGAAGTGACTTCTGGAAGAAAGCGACCTTGATGTGCTCCTTCACTGACAATCACATTTCTGACTACATACTGGTTTGATGTAATCACGATCAAGCTCTCCACCCCAACCCGTCCCGTCCCTCTCCATAACCTCTCGAAGGTAATGGAAAATATACTCCTGTAACCTTGTGTTCCCTCATCTGTTTTACATCACCTGCAATAGCTTTGAATGATGAGCTTATCAGTGATAGCACCGTTACAACAAGCGCCCGAGGAAACACACAAATATGATCAGGGCTCGCCGCTCTGTATTTCCATCACACACACGCCAAACACACGTGCGCAAAACATACACATGCCATCTGTCTGCACCAGATAAAAAAAGAGTGCAGATAATGAAGGAAGAGTAGAAGGAGGAGAGGAGGAGACATGTTCAGATTTGGTGAGATATGGCTGCTTGCTGGAGGATTGTCACTCATAGGCAGGAGCCTGATAACAAGAGGTGACAGGCTGACCAGTCACTTTGCTCTAGTTTTGTTGTGAATTAACTGAAAATGAAGAAATTGCACCGTGGGATCATTTGCAGGGCGGAAAGCCCTCATCTTGAATATTTGAAAAAAAGTCATCAAACTGTGAAACGAGTTCCTAACTGACAAATTACCCATTAAAACAACTGAAAAGTTGAAGATGACTTCACATAGCAAATGAAGAGATGTGGAGCTAATTATAAAATTTTAGAATTTAAGGAAGACACTTGATCAATAATTATTTAAATTGTCCCGCTCTGCAAGGAAAAAAAAATGCTTCAGGCATGAAACTATTTTCTTCTTGATTCTGTCTGAGGCTTTAAAAAAAATTAATTAATAAACAACTACAATGACACTCAGTAGAGCACACACCTCTGCCAAGGCTTGTTTTTTTGGATCTCTACCAAATTGCACACGCTCACAAATATCCGTCCCCTGAATATGATCCATTAATTATTCCCTGAGAAAAACAAAAATCTGGAAAAATGCATGTCACGCATGTTAAAGAATGTGAAAAAATTATAATCCTGGTTCGACCATCTGATCTGGATCCCCAACAAAAGTACCCCACCCCTCCACAGAATTCCGTGGAAATCTGCTGAGTAGTTTTGTGTAATCCTGCTAAAACAAATGTGCATGAAAACATAACATTCTTGGTGGAAATGAAAATACCATCATCTAATAGAGTACAATTTATTATTTATGTCAGCAGATGCATTAATTCTATGGGTTATATTTGGAAGCTATTTTTGTTCATGTAGAAAACACACCATGCTGTATTCTGAGTGTAAAACCACCAACAAGCTGCAGAAATATGAAATAATACCATCGGCATAAACAAGACAAGCACTGATGTTTGAGAAATTATGTTTTAAAGTAATATTGTATTCAGCTAGTTGGGATTATTTTGAAAGATATTTCTTATATAAACTATGTGGGCATTGCATCAGTCTATCCTCTCAATACAGTCAGGGACACGCTGCTTGTACTAACTCTGCTCGAGACAAATTATAAAAGAGAGTCCTCATTGAGTGCTCTCGCTCACAACACCTGTGGTCACAGGGAGTATGCTGTAAAAAAAAAAATCTGATTCCATTTGAATTCATTTCATAACGGAATTTCTGGAGAGGCGAGGTTTGCTGTAGCTGCTGGTGTTATTCTGTCCGTCTGTCTGTCTGGGACGTGTGTTCAAGGAGAGAGCAGAGGCTCTGACCAAGGTTTACAGACAAGAGGCCAGACTAAAGGGGGAAATCTGGGATGAGCTGAGAGCTCTGACAGACATGGTGGTGGAACAGAGAGAGGAACTGAGCGAGGCTGAACTACAAATCAAAAGTGAGAGAGATCACAGAGACATAATCAACAAGACTTTTAGGGTGTAGCAGGGACTCGATGATCAATAATGAAAGATCATTTTAAGACATCTGTCAAATCATGTGACAGTTAATGTGGCTTAAAATACACTCTATTATCAGAATTTGTTCTGCACCCTAAGACGTACACTGTTTCACACAAACGACACGATGAATGATTAATGGTCTGTATTTGTGAAGCACATTTCTCGTCTTGATGACCCTTCAAAGCTCTTATGGTGCAATTTTGCCGTTCATCCATTCACACAAACATTCATGCAATTTTTCTCTATCACACATGTCTCATACACCTGGTTCAGTGTCTTGCTCAAGGACACTTCGGCAAGCTGAATAGGGGAGACGGGGTTTGAACAGCTGACCTTCTGGTGAATACAAATACACACTTATTGCATTACACATTATGAACAAGTGGCTGTTGCACAATCAATATTAGTGCTCCTTTAAATTAATGATTAGTGCAATTGTGGCAGATTCCTTTCCTATTGATTATTCATTGATTCATTGTTTCAGCCCTATATTTGGCTAAACCCATATAATGTTGGTAGTTTATATGGAAACAGAAGGTTAAGACAAACTTAGGTATTTTGGCTTTTAAGAAATCATCATGCACAGTTGAGATTGTATATTACAACAAGAAAATCGCCATTTAAAGACAAATCTAATGCCAATTTCAAGGAATCAAAACAAAAGTTGTCTAAATGTCTATGTGTTTTAAATAGCTCTCACCCTGTTATAAAACCAACCATGCTCGACAGCAGCAGAAAGAAAATTCAATAAAAAAGCTTTTACGGACGAGATAAGTTGGACATGGTGTCATACCAACAGCAATAGCAAACCTAGAATGGATTTTTTTATGAATATACTGTAGGATGCTACTTAAAACAGCTTTGGTTCAAAGAAGTTCATCCTCAGCCTTTATGGTATTTCAGTGATGAGCTCCAGAATGACAGCTGCTGAAAAACAAGGTGACAGCAATTACAGTGGAAGTTGCAACTGAACGGCAGCTCCAGACAAAAAAAGAAGAAACCAGGAGGAGGCTGATTATTTGTAATTAAAACTAAATCTTGAAAGAGCAAGTTGAAGTATAAAAAAACATTGACTTTCATGCTGTAGTCCAAACAACACAAGCAGCATCCCTGATTTTCAGACAGCAGCAGTGAGAAGGAGGTGAAGAAGAAAGAAGTGACAAGAAACAGAGAAACGCTGGATGTTTCCAAGACTGAACCACAGCTCTGGAACAACAAAGTGGATGAGAAACACAGAGAAGACA